GTGTGTGTGTGTGTGTGTGTGTGTGTGTGTACGTGTACACTGGCCCATGTATGCACACAACTATATTTCTGTACGTGTACGTTACTATAATAAATATGTTTGTACTGATCCCTCTGACTCTAATCTGTAACCACAGGGCTTATTTTAGCCTTCCCTTCCCCCCTTTGCTTATTTGAACTTCGTTCTCTGACAGAAACTTGGCTTCCTACTAAAGATGGTTTATTTATGTATTTGTTAAACTCTAGTATATAAAATAGTTTCATAATTGCCAACTTGTACCCCTATGAGAAACAAATTTATAATATAGCATTTATGTACAGTTCTTTCTGTTTTTAGCCTTAAAGTACCAGTGAAAGCACTGTTTTCAAAGTTACTTAGCTCTGTTGCTTTTTTCTCCACCCTCCTATGTCATATACATACATTTATAGTAAAGTTAGATTTCTCAACATCTGCATTCAATTCTGGGATTCCACGATATCCTGTTTTTTACTGTAAATTTTCATTACTTTACTTTTTGTGCTGTATATTTCTGTGGGGTTTAACAGACATAAAATGTTATGTGTCTACCACCACAGTGCCATACAGAACATTTACACCACTCTAAAAAGAATCCCTTGTGATACCTCTTGGTAGTCAGCCTCTACCCCCTCCCCCAGCCCCTGGAAATCACTGAACTGTTTTCCATCTTTTTGTTTTGTATTTTCCAGAATCTCATATAAATACAGCATGTAACCTTTTGGGTCTGGCTTCTTTCACTTAGCACAGTGCATTTAAGATTCATTGATAGTGTTGCATGAATCAGTAATTAGTTTTATCCCTGGTATTGTATGGATGTGGTTTATTTATCCATTCACCTTGAAGTTCATCTTAGTTTCCAGTTTTGGAGGATTATGAATAAATTTACTATAAATACTTACATACAGGTTTTTATATGAACTTTCAATTCACTTGAGTAAATATCTAGGAGTGGCCTGGATGGATGGAGTGGTACGTGTATATTTAACTTTATAAGAAACTGCCAAACTGTTTTCCAGAGTGGCTGTACCATTTTGCATTTCTACCAGCAACGTATGAAAGTTCCAGTTGCTCTATATCAAATGTTATAGTTTTATGTTTTACATTTAGGTCTGTGATCCCTTTTGAATTAACTTTTTTATAAGGTGTGAAATGTGTAAAAGGTTCACTTTTCTCTATGAACACTTGTTTATTTCAGCACCATTTGTTAAAAAGACTATCCTTTCTCTGTGGAATTGCCCTTGTACTTTTGTCAAAATCTAATTGACTGTATTTGTATAGGTTTGTTTCTGGGGTGTCTAGCATGCTTCGTTGTTCTGTGTATCTGTCGTTTCACCCATACGATCCACTAGGAGAATCTTTTCATTCTATCTAGAAATATTTAGATCGAAATTTTTGAGAAACTTTAAGAGGCACTCTCCAAGCTAAAGAGTTCTTTTTATTTTTTATTTAAAGCTCATTTCAATTTTGTATTCTACTCCAAAATATAGTAATTCTTAATTTAGTATGAAAATGCCTGCCATCCTTCTGCCCCATTAATTAAAATTGGTGCTTTGAATTTTTTTTTAATCAACTTTCTATGGTATGTTAAAATTTTACATTAGACAATTTCCAAGTCATTCTGTTTATTTTTCTCAAATGCCTAATCTATAATATATTAAAACATTTGTTGTTTTGAGCTAAATCTTTTTTTTTTTAATGTAGTCTATCTAACGCAAAATAAATGGTACAGAAATGTTGCGTAATTTTTCCTGTCCCTTTTTGCTTGTAGGGAAGCAGCACGAGAGTGTCGTAGAAAGAAGAAAGAATATGTGAAATGTCTAGAAAACAGAGTGGCAGTGCTTGAAAACCAAAACAAGACACTGATTGAGGAGCTAAAAGCACTTAAGGACCTTTACTGCCACAAATCAGATTAATTTGGGATTTAAATTTTCACCTATTATGGTGGAAAAAGGAATGGCTTGGCCACAACCAGAAAGACGAAATAAACATTTATTTTCTAAACATTTCTTTTTTTCTATGCGCAAAACTGCCTGAAAGCAACTACAGAATTTTCATTCATTTGTGCTTTTGCATTAAACTGTGAATGCTCCAACACCTGCCTCCACTTCTCCCCTCAAGAAATTTTCAGCACCACGAATCATGAAGAGACTTCTGCTTTTTATCCCCCGCCCTCTTCAAGAAGTAATAATTTGTTTACTTGTAAATTGATGGGGGAAATGAGGAAAAGAAAATCTTTTTTTAAATGATTTCAAGGTTTGTGCTGAGCTCCTTGATTGCCTTAGGGACAGAATTACCCCAGCCTCTTGAGCTGAAGTAATGTGTGGGCCGCATGCATAAAGTAAGTAGGTGCAATGAAGACGTGTTGATTGCCAAATTGACGTGTTTTCACATTTTCATTGTGAATTATGTAAGATTGTTAAGAGACATACCCTCTAAAAAAAGAATTTTAGGATGGTGTTGAAGAAATTAAGAATGAATTTGGAGTGCTTTCTATGTACATTCTCTTCAATACTGAAAATTTGTCCTTGGTTCTTAAAAATATTCTGTATTAACTACAGCTCTTCCATAGGGCAGTTTGTTGCTTCTTAATTCAATTCTGTATGTGTTCAGCATTTTGAATACATTAAAAGAAGTAACCAACTGAATGAAAAAGCATGGTATTTGATTTTAAATTAAATCAAAGTAAGTAAAAGTACAAAGCTTGTTTTAGTTTAGTACTAAATTCTTAGTAAAAAGATGCTCATTAGTAAACCAATCCCTTGAGTTATATAACAAGGTTTTTAAATAAATGTTTTTGTCATCGCCTTCAAAAATATTTATATTGTCACTCATTTACTTTAAAAGGTTTTTCTAATTAAACTGTTCCCCTTTGCACTTATATTATACCACCAACAGGAAAGCCTTCAAGATGTTAAAGCAAAGTGCTGTATTTGTTTATAAAATGTTATGTGTTGTAGAAAAATACTGATTTTAAATCTTTTCCGTATTAACATACTTTAACAGAGTAGTGAATTTTTTAATGAAAGAAGTTATAAGGATATAGTTCTTTTAAAGTACAGTATTAGATATGCACAAGGAAAATAATTTTCTTCAGACATATTTGAATGACTGCTGTACTACAATATTTGGATTGTCATTCTTGCAAAACATCTTTGTTGTTTTCTTCTATTGATAAAAAGGATAGCTATGCTTTAGCTTTCCAATATGCTATATATCCTTTGTTATTCTGTAAAGGAGATACCTGTTTTAATTCCTTACCTATAACAGTCTGTATTTGTATGTATCACACATTGTTTCCAGTACTACTTTTAATTACCAATACTCATTTTATTCACTAAGCTTGATAAATTTAAAAGTTACCCTTTAAAAAAAAATAAGACTGAGGTGGATTTGAAAAATTGGAGATTGACATAATGTTAGATTACAATTTCTCATTTGAGAAGGTATTCCTTTTTTAAAAGAGAGTCTAGAATTTAATGTTTTATATTTAGTCATGGGTTGTTTTTAAAAGTTAAGTTAATGTGTTAACAAAATATGCAGATATGGGTGTTAATTATTGAGTCCAGTTTGAAAAGTAAGATTTTTAATTAATATTTGTAAATGGTATATTTTTATTTGTAACAAACCGTTGTCTTTTTTCAAGGATGAACAGAGTTTATGAAGGAGCACCATTCTAAGAATTGAGTGATGTAGTCTTATATCTGGACAGTTCGCCAGATTCTCAAGAAGGCTTTCAAACGACTGTAAATTTTGTTGTTTATCCTGCTGAGCTAATGGGGAAAGTTACAGTGTAAAAATTATTTGTATACCTGCATAGATGTGTCATTTTCCAAAACTGGTTTAATAGAAACCAAGCAAAATCACAAATCTATTCACAAACTAGAAGTCTTTCTTTGAGGCAGAATGTGAGACCTGAACATTTTAAAAGTCATAAGCTTTATAAATGAAAATTGCCTAGTATTTGGCAAGTTAAATGTTTTCAAAAGTTGAGGCTTTCTATTTAATTAGAAAGTTGGTGGTCCTCTTAGTCCCTGATAAATCAAGGCAAGTCACATCCATATTAGCTGGCTGAATTTATAAGTTACAAAAGACTGATTGCGCTGGTTTGAAGTCAGTTACTTAATGGTGAGATAAATGTATTCTGTTGCTAAATCTGTTTAGACCCTTGGAGAGATTTGAAGGTTTCAGCTTATACAGATAGAAATTAAGCATATTTTGAGCAAACTTTTTTTAAGAGAATTGGGAAAAAAGGTGTTTGTTTTTAAGCATGCAACTTTGAGAATCTTTGTTAAGAAAACAGCATAATTTTAAAAAATCTTATAGCCAATAACATGCGGCCACATTATGTTTTTTCTCTTCATTGGCCAAAAGGGAATAAAAATGTCATCATAGGAATCTGTACATATGCTACTGATTTGCCTAGAAAAATAGCAAGTTTGGTATTGCTCACTTTGCAAATATAGGGCCATGTGCCACTTTTATCTATAGGACAGATTAACTCTAATAAAAATGAAGTGGGAGGGGTTTATTTTTTATATATTGCTCTTATGAGTTTTCAAGCTTTGATAGTGTTTAACTGAAAAATGGTTTAGAAAGGGCTAGATCCAATGTGTTCACATTATTAAAAATTGATATCAGATGTAATTTTTAAGTTCATTTTTCAAACTCAAGTACCATATTGGCAACCATAATATTGTCATAGGTGCTCTGTTGATTTAGATATTCCTGGCCGGGGGGAATGGCATTTGTATAATATATGTGTACATATATATATATATATATATACATACAGTATATAATCTGAAGCTCTGAGAGCTCTTAAGTCAGGAATGCTGAGTATTATAGTATACTGAGGTCGGATGAAATTTTACATTTTTGTGTATTTTATTGCATCACCTTTGGTAGTTTCTTGGACTGAATTACTCCAGCACTCATGATTGATGTTTTTTAATCTCCTGGTTTTTTTTTTAATTGTCAGTTTTCTTTGGCTTAATACTTTTAAATATGTTACTAGTCACTTGAACCACCACCACCTCCACCCCCCCCACAAAAAAGTATTTGGTTTTTGTGCTTTGTCTCTGGCAGCTATAACAGTGGTAAGAACATTTTGAAGATAGCTTCTAAAAGGTACCACTGATTTTTCAAAAATCATCCTGGGGGAGAATTTTTGGTGTTTTCATTTGAGCAGGGATTTTTGTCAGAAAATGTATCTTGATGGCAAGTCAGCAGCAGTGCTAGTATCTGAAAGCACAATACCAGTCAGGCAGGCTGTCCGATCGGAAGTCATCTGGCTGAAGTTTATCTCTGTCTCTCAGGCCTAATCCCTGATCCTTTTGACCATTTGGGGTGACATGTGGAATCATACAAAGGCTTAGGAAGAAACAAGTTTGTTTAAACCAGGATGCTTTTACTTACTTTAAGTGACTTCAATCTAGATTTCGTTTTTAATGTTTTTAGTTCTGTGATCAGCTGTAGTCAGCTATCAGCATATATTGTTCTCTTTATTTTGAAGATCAGAAGGCTGCTTAATTTTGCAGGATTAAAATAAGGCTATATCTTAAAGTTAAGATTCTGAATTAAAGTGGGTTTTAGAGACAACTGTTAACACACCTTTTCAGTTTTTCCAAGAGGCTTTATTTGTTGCCATTGTAACCCTGAAAGCTGTTGGTATATTGTTTCCCATTGACTTAATACAAAAGTTGTATATTTATTTGGATTATTTTTACATTATATTCTTTGTAAATGTTTGGTGTAACTTGCACTTTTAAAAATGACCCTGTTTGGGTATTAGCAAACTTGAGAAATTCCCTCATCAATTAATTGTCATCTGACTTTTTATGTCTTTCTCCTCTCTTCAAATCATGTGGCATTTTTATGGCAGCTTTTTTCATTGATTAAAATATTTTAACACCTAAAGGCTAGCCTTATAAATGCTGTAAAAGAAAAATATCAGGAAATTAGATTAGACTAGCCCAATTAATTAAAAGATGGGTTCAAACCCTATCTTATTATCTTTCATCATGGATAAAGATAGAAGGAAAAGCAACTCAAGTGAATAAATATTTATTTCCAATTTTAAGTAAGACTGTCCTCACCCCAACATTAATACTGTTTATAGAATCCCAAAGATATCCTTGAACTTGTCTAGAACAGTAAAAGACTTTCAAGGCAATTAATCATCATTATCATGGAGAACACATGTATTAATTTGATTAAATTTTTTCACTTTAAATTGTTAACATCACATTTGACTGATTTCAGATGAGGAGGGGAAAAGTGAGGTATGCTTAAGTAAGCCTGTAGGTGAAGAATTGTGGTATAAATTTGTTCACTCAGTTGTACAAAGCACAACTAGAACTTTTTATTGGATGGCTTACATACATCTTGAATACTTTTAATGTTGATATGTTGACTTTTTTAAGTTGACTGCACAGTCACTATATGTACTAGGAACTGGTTTCCTTGACTTTTCTAAAATCAATGGCTAAGAGAGGCACTAATCCCTGAGGGGTCGAACATATCATGAAGCTGAGTCAGTATGGAAGAATTTCAAATAAATCAAACAGGGTGCTGAAGTTCCATCTGTCTCATCTGCTTATGATAAGTTCTTATTGATTAGTGAATGTAGCTTAAGCCTTTGTATGTGTCCTCAGGGGGCAAACTTTAAGAGGGACCAGATAACGTTTGAATGGAGGGATTATATTTCAGGTGTTTTAGCTTGAAATTTATTTTTTAAAAAAATTAAAATAGGAAAAAAAATAGAACAAAGCCTGTGAAGCAATTTGATATTATAAACAGGCTGAGTTGTTTAGCACAGAGAGAAAATATTGACCTGTCTGCATTCTGGTACTGTGCATACAGGTCCTAGCTGGGTAAAACACGATACATTTTGAGTTATTCTCACCAGCAAGTA